ATGCTGACTAAAATATCTCAGTCACAAAGCAACACATATTAAACAAGCTTATTATTGTAATAATAGATTTGAGATGGAGGGAGGGAGGGAAGGAAGGAGAGAGGAAGTACAGGAAAAGAATGTATAGATAATGAATACTGCACTAGAATGAGTAAAAGAAGGATCTTCTGAAAGGAATGTACTATTTGCAGTCATGTGTATGACAATTAATAGTATTACAAGAGGAATTTAGGGAGGGGTAAGGAGAAGAGAGAGAAAGGTGTGCATGAATGAATTAATTAATGAAAAGATATTTAATTTTTTTTTTTCTTTTAAAGTGCAGGGCTATCATTTGACCATAGATAGCTGTGTCTATTTCTGGTTTCTCAGTTTGCTCCACTGGTCTATATGCCTGTCATTGTACCGGTGCCATGGTGTTTTGATTACAACCACTGTATAGTCAATTTTGAGAATGCTCCTGGGCCTACACAGACTGATAACCGAATTACAAAATGAGCAAAAGAATTTGCACAGAGGAAGATACACAAATGGGCAACAGACACATGAAGAAATCCTCAAAATCACTGGCAATAAGTGAGATGAAAATCAAAACCATGAGATACCATCTCACTCCAGTTAACAGGACAGCAAATAATAAATGTTGGAGAGGATGCGCAGAGATAGGAATTCTTATACCCTGTTGGTGGGTTGTAAAATGATACAACCACTCTAGAAGGCAGTTTGGTGTTTCCTCAAAAAGCTGAATATAGAAATCCCATGTGATCCAACTATTCCACTGCTTGGAATATACCCCGAGAAAATGAGAACTGAGGCACAGAGACTTGTACACTAATGTTCATAGCAGTGATATTCACCATCGCAAGAACATGGAAACAGTCCAAATGTCCAACCACAATCAAATGGATTGAGAAATTATCATACATTCACAAAATGGAATGTTATAGGTATGATGTTTTTAAATTACTACCTAACTTGGACTACCTGAACTAACTCACTACCATAAGGACAAAACTGTATGAAAACATTATTGTGGAATTAGTATGAGGATCCAAGGTGGGTAGGGTGGAAGCAGATGGGTGAGGATGGGTGAAGGGGGAGTCAATCATAGTCGTATGATTTGATGGGTGTAAGGAGTGGGTGAAGGAAATGTCAAAGATCTGTTAAGAAAAACAATGTATGGAAACTTTGTAAATAATCAGTATAAAATAAAATAAAATAAGAATAGGAAAAAGGAAAGTGCAGGAAGTACATGGGCAATTTATATGCTTATACAAGGAGAAAGATTAGGTTTATTTATGAATATATGCCATATATCTAATATGTAATAAATGAAAGTAATGTTAGCATCCACATTTGACAACTTTGCATGACAGATAAATGTACAAATACAGTTAACTTCTTTGATTAAATGTCAATGGTTGTAGAGGGGCTTCAGGCTTTTGTTCATAGTGTCGCTGAGTCCTGCTCAACTTCAAGGCAATCAAACAACTCAACAACAACTTAAAAAAACAGCTGTGAGAGAAGAGACATCATAGCTGTCTGATGAATAAAAATAACTTTTCAAAGTTAATGAGATATTTCAAAAGCCAGAACTCCTAGTCAGCAAACTAAAATTCATAAAAGGGGCCAAATGAATTGGATAAGAAGTACAAAGAAAGAAAATACAGCACTTAGTAAAATCCTTGTATGTTCAGAAAATACGAATAACTAACAAAACTATCAATCTTTTAAAAAGTATTGTAAATAAGATATAAAACTGATTGTGCATTAATCATCATCATTTAAATAGAACCCCAGGAATGATGGTGCCTCAAGTTCTGCTACAACTTATTCTAGTGAAGTTAATACTTTAGTACCTCTATCTCTCATCCACAAGTATCTTCTCAGACTTACAAGCCCACTCGAGAGACCTGCATAGAATACTGCCCAAGTCCTGGGTTTCAAACTACACTTTTAGCAGCAGGAACGTTTCATTAAATAAAACTTTCACAACAAACCCAGTAGTAATGTGTGTATAATTGTGTGTGCAATTAAAGGACACTGACTCAGTTCTCTCTTCTCATCTTGAGGAATCTTCTGATCACAGTGTGAAGGCAATTACAACACCACCACCAAGAGAACCTGGTAAAGGTCATGGCTAGGATTAGGATACTAATCTTGGGAAAGATGCTTGAGCATCTAGATTGGCTAGGTACTTATAAGTGTTGTTGTTATGTACCGTCGAGTTGTTTGCAACTCATAACGACCGTATGTACAATAGCCCTAAACCCTGCTCTATCCTGCGCCAACCGCACTGCCTCTGACACACCCATCCCGATTACCCCAGTCACTGAATCAGTCTACCTCATAGAGGGTCTTCCCCTCCTGCGCTGTCCCTCCACCCTACCAAGCATGATGTCCCTCTCCAAGGACCTGTCTCTCCTTACAACATGTCCAAAGTATGTCAGATGAAGCCCCAGAATCCTTGGCTCCAAGGAGTAGCCTGGTTTAACCCTCTCCAGGTAGAGAATATAAAATATATAGGTTGCTACAGTTTTACATAAAAAGAGTGATAAAATTTTCCATCACAAGTAAGTGCTTTGGAGTCGGAACTAACTTACAGCTATCACTCCAATAAGTTTCCAAAGATATAAATAGCAAAGGTTTCCAAAGGAGAAAATTCTTCACCTTTCTGACAAGGAGCCCTTCATTGATGGATTCGGCAGATTAGAGGTGTGTCAGCACACATCTCTATAGACTAGACCACCAAAGCTCCCCTTGATAAAACTTCACACACTTCTAAAGATTGATGCCCCATTGTTGGACTGAGTTAGCCAACAAGATACTAAATTTAACTTTATGCTCCTTTATCTATCTTCTGTAGAATCTGAAGTCATAACTCCAGCAAAAACTCAAATAATTGCTGCCAAGTTGAAATTGACTTATAGCTGACCCTCAGGTGGATTTTCCAAGGCTATTAATTCCATAGGAAGAGATTAATCATTTTCGGCATCAAAGCTGATGGTGGATTCAAACAGTAAAGAAAAAAAAGAAATAAAATGTGTTACATCACTACCTACATTTAGAACCAACTCATAGCTGACCCTCCAATGAGTTCTCAGATTGTAAATTCCAGGGGAGAAGACTGCCATCTTTCTCTTGTGGACCATCTGGTGGATTTTAACCTCATACTCTAGGATGCCAGCAGAATTCTCTACCCACAAGGTTGATCAAGCAAGATAGTATACCTTATTTTTTCTGTCTCATTAATTATAGAGTAATATTTACAATGACCTGTTGTTGTTGTTATGTGCCATTGAGTCGCTTGCGACTCATAGCAACCCTATGTACAAGAGCTCTAACCTAGCCATATCAAACGCACTTATTCCCACTGCTCCAGTCACAGAATCGATCCAT